TTTTCTCATTTTGCAATATTTGGGGAGGGAAAATAAAAGGGATAAAAATTGCCAAGTGGAATGTGCTGAAGAATAAAATAAAGTGTGGTTTAGTGATGTAAATCTGAAATCATTCCACTGGCAAAACTGAACTTTTTTCAGGTTTACAGCATTGAAAATGTTACAGACTGATTACTTTTGCCAGTAATCCATGTAGCAGTTGGCAGTTCTATGCCTTTCTGTAACCATGACGTTCAATGCCCATTTCATCACTGCAGAAGTTCTGCACTGGCTTAACATTATGTCATTTCAGTATTTCTGGGGCCTTTCTGTAACCATGACGTTCAATGCCCGTTTCATCACTGCAGAAGTTCTGCACTGGATAGGGTAAACTTGGCTTAACATTATGTCATTTCAGTATTTCTGTCACCGCTTCCAATCCAAAAACAGCAAGATGTGAAGAGAGACTGCTGATGTTAAGACAGATTCATAAATGCATGCAGTTAGAGGGACTATGCAGTTAATGTTGTGTCTGTGTGACTAAGAACCATCCATTTCATGCTAAAGAGCTCTTTCGATAGAGAAATTAATTGCTTGCAATGATCAGGACACTAGAAAAAGATCATACCATGGAATATTTTTGTTTACCTGCCTACTGAAAATTGGCAGCAATGGTAGTTTCATTATCATCCATTAAATCCTTTATTAAATTTGTTATAAGAACATTATAGAAATATAACATGCTGCATGGCTGGAAGTAGCTCTCTTAACACATGGACCATAATGTCTCCATTGTAAATGGGACTGCAATCAGTTCTTAAAACTTGAGTAAAGGTCTTAAGGGAATTTTTTCTTTTCCTATGGACTCCACATCTCCCTTCCTGACCCTCCTAGGGGTGTACTGGTAACAGTAGGAGATATCTCACCATATGGACTTTCTAGGTAAACAGCAGAGTCACATCTTGACTTAGATATGAACACTTCTCATGCTCTATCCTAATGTTTATCTGGCTTATTATGTATGGTGTGGCCTTCACCTGCCTTCTGGTGAATTACCTGTGCTCATCTTCTATATGGTCAGGTGGCATTTCTCCACCCCGTCACTATGTGTAATCAGTGCAGATTTGCTTTAACGTATCAAGGTCTAGGAAATCCCAAAGATTACATCTAAGCTTGAACAGCATTGTCTTTTAGCTCACGGTTGTGCTCCTACCCTGGCAACATATTCAGCTCCCACCTTTATTGACAGGTAGGGAAATGCAAGCAGAATCTCCCCTCCTTTTTTTTTTTTTTTATTTGTGAACAGATGAAAGAGCAAAATGGAAAACAAAAAAAAACAAACAAAACCCCAAAAAATAAGAAGAAAAAGGTGGGTGCCTCAAAAGCTCTGAACTGAAATTAAGTAGAACAAGTCACATGCTTAAGTTAACTGCTTGCTGAAGTGTGTGTCCTGGTGGAGCATGGCCAATACTTGCAGCTTTATCAGTGTCATTTTTCTACAAACATATCAAAATTGGAGAAGTCAGAGTAGAAGATAGTAATAGGTTGCAAGTAGTTTGCCTTTGCAGAAATGTTACCCATAGTCTCTATGTCTTAATCTGACTTCTGAGTTAGGAGTAGACAGCAGAGTAATTCAGCAACAAATACACAATCGTTAGCTAAGATTCCTGCGTTGTGTGAAGAAATGCATATTGCCTACGTATAAACAAACAATGCAGATAGCACAGACAGCCTGACTGACAAGCAGATATTATGGACTTCTTACATGTTTTCTTAACTAAAGCTGCCAAGAGTGCCTGGCTGAGTACAGCTGATTGACTGCTCACTTGAAGCCCATTGAGTCTGGCAGGATTTCTGTTGACTGGCACTTCGCACTGCTTTTTCACCACCTGCTCTTCCTAACCAGGTGCTTTTACATCTTCCCAAGCAACTTTTCCTCCCTTAGTGCTTGGCCTTTTCAGTTTCTAAGGGATGTTTCAGCAGAAGGAATACCTGCTAGCACAGCGGTAAGCAGGCACAGGTACAGCCTGCTACTGTTCCATATGCAGCTTATATGTCATCTATCCTGTGTTCACTCCAGAGCCATATCCTTCTTTCCTTCCTCTCCTACACTGATGAATGTTTTCCCTCATTCCTTAAATAACTGCTGTGCAGAAACCTAGAAGTGATTTTGTTTCAGTATTAGGCAACACATTTTTAATAAGTAATCCTTTCAGGTGACAGGGAAGTCCCTGGAAGGTGTGGATAGAAGGAGAATCTGTACATCCAGGTCTTTATCAGGTCTGGAATTTTGCTGTCCTTAGACATCTAAAATAAAGTTTTTTCCAAGTATGGTTTTGGGAAATGATGAAAAAACACTCTACTGGAAGTGTTCGACTGAAATAAAGCAGAACAAAACATGTCAGATGACCTTCAGTGCATGTGGTGCTGGATGTATTGACCCTGCTAAAATATTTGATCTTTGTCATTTCCAGACTTGGCTTCCCACCCTATTGGTGTTACAGGAATTCGGAAATACCCTCTTCTGTTCAATGTTTCCATCCCTCACCATGAAGAAATCACCATGGCAGAGCTGAGGCTCTACACCTTGGTTGAACGGGATCAAATGCTCTATGATGGGCTTGACCGGAAAGTCACCATTTTTGAAGTGCTGGAAAACAACCATATGGGGGTAGAAGAGAGAAAGACAGTGGCACTGGCATCCAGGCAGATCTATGGCACGAGCAGTGAATGGGAGAGCTTCGAGGTCACTGAAGCCATCAGGCGTTGGCGAAGGGCAGGGCTGACCACACATCGGCTGGAAGTTCATATAGAGAGCAGGGAAGGGGAGGAGCAGAACGGAGAGGGAAAACTTGATATCGACATCAACTCTGAGGCTAAGCATGTGCCCCTGTTGATTGTGTTCTCTGATGACCAAAGCAATGACAAAAAAGAGGAGAAGCAAGAGCTGAACGAAATGATAGACCATGAGCAGCTCCTGGACTTGGAGAACTTGGAGGTTGGCAATTTCCATGGCCAGCCTGGTGAGGAGGCGCTGCTCCAGATGCGTTCCAACATCATTTACGACTCTACTGCCCGAATCCGAAGGAATGCAAAAGGCAACTACTGCAAAAAGACTCCACTCTACATAGATTTCAAGGAGATTGGCTGGGATTCCTGGATCATCGCCCCGGCAGGATACGAAGCTTATGAGTGTCATGGAGTGTGTGCCTACCCCTTAACAGAGCACGTCACACCGACGAAACATGCCATTGTCCAGACTTTGGTTCACCTGAAGAATCCCCAGAAAGCCTCCAAGGCCTGCTGTGTGCCCACCAAACTCGATCCCATCTCTATTCTCTACTTAGATGCAGGGGTGGTCACCTACAAGTTCAAATATGAAGGAATGGTGGTATCAGAGTGTGGCTGCAGATAGTAGGAGGGAACGCATGCACAGGGGAGCACACAGGGGAAGTATTTAATGATTCAGTCTGTAAATTTGTACATTTCGGATTTCCTATTTAATGAGGTTATTTAATGAGGCATGTACAGATAATTGTATGTTTCCTGTTACGGGGAATAGGCAAGTCGTACGACCATAGGGAATGTATATTTTGTTCCATTGCTTGCTTCTTGCTGTTCTTTGCTGTCCAAATTATGACCTAGTCTCTCTTCCTATCCGGGCATAGAGCAGATCACTGGATTGTTTGGGAGGGTTCTTTGTGCTGAAGGGGCACATTCAAATTCACAGAAATAAAGGCATATTTTTGTACTTTATAAAAGTTGATTGGCATCTATAGGGACTTCCAGAGCTATTAAAGATAGGTGAACTATGGGCAATACACACCTAGATTGTTTAGTTTTGTGTAATATCGTTACATGCTCAGATACACATATTTTTTTTAGTTTATCTCTGTAGAGCTTAAGTCCTGATAATTCTCAAGCTCATATTTGTAAACATTAATTAGGTATCCCCTCACTAAGGCACAATAAGGTGTTAAGACTTTTTTTTCCCTTTTTCTTAATCCTTTCTTCAATCTTTCCCTGTCTCAGGTAAAGGTAATTGTTAGGGATGATTTGGCACCTGGAGCAGAAGGGAATCATCCCCTTTCCCATCTTTCTTATTAAATAGGCCCAGGAGCAGTGCCAGGCTTGTGCAGTGCTCTGATGTTCAATGGCAAGAAATTCCCCCTGAGCACGTCTATTACAAAAGCACCCTGTGTAAAGCGGCGCTGGCTTTGTTGCGTTAGCCATGTGCTGTCTCTCAAGGGAGAGAGCAGCAGGTGGCAGAAATAAGTGCGGTAAATTTCCTGAATCCTTGAAATTGTACCAGTTTATACCAGCTAAGAAACTATTTCCCCTACCCAGTCCAGTAAGTTACATCCAGTACAGCTCTGTAATCCACTTCTAGTAGGAGTATTGCATTTAGTCTGCATAGAGCTAGACAGAAAAGGAAAGCCCTTCGTGCCAGCTAGACAGAGAGGATCTTTCCTTTATGTACATGCTGAAGTTGTCAATTTGTAAAGATATTGCCCCCCCCCACCCCAAACTATATATGATGGAGTCACATGCCATGTTTCTGCCACTCTTCTGCAACAAATCATGGTGATAAGAAGGTGTCAGAGCTGAGAAACAATAGACCTGTCACTTTATTTATACTAAGCTGCAAATTTGTCAGATTCTTGGGAAAGTGTAAGTGACGTTGACTCTTTTAGCCTCTACCAGAACCTACTGTACTGTCCCTGCATCTGTTTTACACTTTTAAGGGAAAGTTATCTTCCCTGGCAGTGATAAGGGTCTTTGAAAGAATCACTCTAACACTTTGTGGGAATGAACACTAAAGACTTTATCATGCACCAACTAAAACCAGCTTCACCTGTTTTCACACATATTCTTCTGGGCTTCCCATAATTTATTGACCTATTTATTGACTGCTTGCCTTTGTAATATAATGTAGAATACAGAATGTTTTATTTTTGTGCTTGTGTGTAATCCCACTTGGATAAAACCTTGTACCAATCTTGTTTTACATGGAATCTTTCTGTTGAGTTGTGCTGCACGGAGGTTGGGGTTGCCCATTTTTTTTCTTCCCTAGATATTTGTAGATACCATATATCATGGTTATCTCCCCTGCTTACAGAACTCTTCATTTTGCAGTGATTTAAATAGCATTCCAGAGCACGTATGGTCTTGTCAAAAGTATAACTACTCTTGCAGGGGTATCATTGCTTTAAGTGGTCAGCCGTGTCGTTTATTGTCCAGTTCTGCAGTCTCCACTCATGTTGTGTGTTTCTAGAGAGTGGGCTGTGCCATGGGGCTATATTGCTTTCCAGATCCCACCCTGCAAGTGACTGACACCGCTCACAGACCTTTCCCCTGCGCTACACTGCAATCGGAGTCTGCGGTTAATGGCACGTTAAAAGAATTCGTGAGAGGTGTGATATTTTCCTCTGCTGACATGAACTGCAGCAGCCAACGGTTGAAGTGTGACTGCACATATCCTTTCAAAACCATCCACAATTCTTATGAAGCCATTTGCCAAGACAAACCATTCACCTTGTTAGGAGTGATAATCCAGCATTAGGGAGATAATCCGACATTTGCTTTTATCATCTCTTTCTGCAACTCCTCCCGTGGCGGTGATCTGACCAGCCTGCTTTTTGCACCACTGTCCTTTACTGAACAGTACCAACAGTTCTGAACAGCATGTAGGAGGATCTGTGCCTTAAAAATAATATGTAATCACTTATAATCACTATAAATTTTCAAGTGACCACATAGCAAAGCAGAGTGGCTGCCTTTGTACTCTCTTATTGCCAGAGATTTGTTGTAGTAGAGCAGATAGTACACAGTGTATTACAGTACAATACAAATGTGGGCAGGTATGTAATTTTATCAGTTAATAAACCTGCATGTGTGAATTTTTACAAGATCCATAAAAATATCAATGATAACCTTTTAGAATTAGGGGCTAGCCAGTCTTTTGATATTAGTAACTTTTCTTTATAAACAAATGAGGACTGTACAGGTGATTGAAGAGGGTTTCAGCCAAAGTTTACAGTGAAAAACCATAAAACATGAAATGTTATCTTGTTGTGCTATTCTGGGAGAAAACTGAACATCTCTTGAATCCTTCAGCTGCACCGGTGCTGTTCATAACCTGAGATTAGAACTATTGAGAATGGTATTTCATTTATTAATGTGTGTCTTTTAGGACTGTATGCCTGCTTTACAAGCAAACCTTGCATCACTTTTACCTTACCTTTGAATATAATTATGCAAAGACATTTGCTGGGTGTTTGTGCAGTTAGATGGCAGAGATCAGGCAAAATGGCATTAAAAAAAAAAATGTGAGCAGTTATTTTATAAGGAGCTTTCCTTAAGTAGCAAATTAAGGTTGTTTCTGCAAACTCAGAAGTGCTTGGCTTTAAATACACCTCACAAATAATATGGTGAGTGCATGACAAAAGCCAGTGCTACTGAGCTGTAAGTGCTGGTAATGTCAGCAGCAAGTCCCTGAAAAAATATTCCACTGCATGTTTTCATTTTCTTTGTTTCATTAATCCTTCCTTCCTTCCTTCTTTCCATCCATCCATCCATCCATCCATCCATCCATCCATCCATCCATACACATTAGTACTGTGATGACTTCTGTTTCTAAAAAAATTTCTTTTTCACATTAAATAGTAGTGTGTAAATAGCTTTCATTTCTGATGTATTTTATATCAACATGCTAGCACACGCTTGATTTAAACCTTAAAAGTGCAAACCAATTTTAGAAAGGTTTGGAAAAATATGGCTTCAGTATGGAAGTATCTGTCTTTCTATCCACCCATCCGTCCATCTCTGAATTACTGCATGCAACTAAGGGAGGCAGCAAGCCTGTCTCAATGAAATTATCAATAGCAGTTGGATTTTTGCTTTCATCTGTTTCTAACTGAATATGTATAAGAAAGCATAAGCAGATGGGAAGCCCCTTTTTTTTGCTTGACGCTGTATGAAATGCCAGGCAGTGCTCGCAGTCTAAATAGACAGGACAGGCAAAGGGGTGGGAGCAGAAACAAATGGTGCAAAGAGAGGAAGAACCTGGATAACATATCAGTGAGGGAGTTGAGGGAAGAGCTTTGGTCTTAGATCGCTGCTTTTAAATCAACACACATAATGCCTCCAGGAGAGCATGAACTTCAAGACATCTTACTCATTTCTTGGCCTTTGAAGAAATCATGACAGCTGTGTCTCCTGTGCAAACCCTCAGCACCAATGCCAGATTTCATGAAGCACTTGGAAGTCTGAGGTTCCTTTAAATGATCCATATCTCTTAACTCTCTGCACATGGACTAAAATTCCTCAAACAAGTTTCTCCCCAAAGTTTTCTTGCATTATCCCTTTCTTGGGTGTGATCCCTGGAGTCCAGGCTCACTCTGTGGTGCCCTGTCTAGCTGATTGCAGATACACATTCCTGGTTTTTTGAGCTTTAAAACTTGACAGCTCAGCATCGCTTTTTCTGGCACTGCTGCCCCAGCCCTGCCAGCCCCTTTGCTCTGGGCAGACTGGCTGTTTGGGATGGTCTGTGGAGCCTGGGCAGGAGGGGCCGAGCCCCACGCTGCTCTGGCAGGAAAGCCGGGCACCCCTCTCCCTAGCAGTGCCTGTTTGCTGGATGACAGCAGCCTGGGGTTGGCTCATACCACTCCCATCTGGAGGTCCCCAAATGTCAGTCTTTTGGGGTTAAAAAAAAAAAAAAGATAATTCCTGAATATTGTGGACACATAGCTCTTTCCAAAGCCAGTGAGCCCTGCCAGGTGAGCAGCAACTCTGGAGCTAAAGGCATGATCAGCCTCCCCAAAACTGAGGTCACTTAGGAAAAATCATCTCCCAGAGCAACCATTATCCAAAGCAGTAGCCAAAACCTACACCCATCTTCTTCTCCCAAGCTCCAACTACTGCACTTCCCTTCTTACAGTGCTCAGAGAGCAAAGCAAACCAGAACCTTTAGCAGTCTAGAAATATCAAAGGATCCTGTGGTTTTTAACAGTCACAGCCAGTTGGGTGCCCAGCTTACCTACAGCACAATGGGAGAGGTTCAGTTAAGTATTTTCTGTGAAACATACTGAGCCAAACCCCAGCAAAATCTTTAGAATTTTTAAGGAAAAGAAAAAAAAAAAGCAAGATTTCCTGGCACTTGAACATCTGCTTCAAGCATTTGAAAAACTACAGACTACAGCCCAGTGTTAATTTAAACTTCCTTATAACCCAGTTCAACATTTAGAGTGCAAACACTGTTAATAGGATGGGAACCGGGGTGGTGGTGGTTTGCTTACTATATTGGGAAACAAAGCCAGAACAAAACTAGCTTGAGATAGAGTTTTTGTTTATACTGCTGACCCATCTGTCTTCATTAATGCATTATTTACAGGAAAAGTTTAAAAATTAGCTTCTGCTCCTTCTTCAATTGCAACAGCAACAAATAAACGCTGAACAGTTCATTTGCCCTCAACTAAAAATGGAAATTCTTATCAGCACCACTTGAAAGAAGAGGTTTATTATATGGAGTGTATTATTGTTGAATATTAGTGCTGGGACGAGGCATTTTGGCCCAAGCTGTGTAT